GCCCTTAGGGCCGCTAGTAAGTAGTATATACTACTTGTTACTTAGTCAGTAAATGCACACTACTATGACACTCAGTAAATATATACTGCTACATACGATGCACATACTATGACACTCATTAAATATGGTTGGTGCAAAAATAATGCCCATTTTGCATAGCATTACTTTGAAACTCTGACCAGCTTATTTTGTAGATGAAAACCGGTTGTATAGTTTGTTTAGAAAAAAATTCAACGAAGGGGATCTGCGAAAAAAAAATTGTTCACTTTTTCGAACCTATTTGTGGTAGGCCAGAAAGTCCAAAACTGTAAGAATTTGAAATTTTTCATATACCGAATAGCTAAGCTTTTCTGCAAAAATTGTAGGAAAGATGTCCTGACTTCAAACACACAGAAATGAAAAAGCTTCAGCGATTGCCCTAATTATAAGAAACTTTGGATCCACAGAATGCCAACAGCGAGTATTTTCGTGGCGTCGATTTCTCGATTCAGATATTTCAAAAATCTACTCAAACATGCTATAGGTAAACAATGCTCAGCCAATACAGAAGCTATCTTTTCAAAAGAATCCGTTCTTGCGCCTGAATTGTGACCAAGGGAGTTGAAGTAACGAATTTTTGATTTTGAGTGCAGCTGTGTGAGAAGCTGGTGAAATACTCACAGATGACAGAATTGACTTATCACATTCCATAAAAGTTAATAGTGCAGTGCAAAGTGCAAAAGTTAATAAATGAAAAGTAATCCAATTGAAAAATCCAGAATAAAAGAAAAAATAATGAAATTTATCACAGCAATGATTTGACGCATGTAAGAAAGCCAGACTGTAAAGCACTAATAATCTAGTAGATATCTTCTTCTTATATATAAAGCTGAATGTCTGTTTGTCTGTATGTCTGTATGTCTGTCTGTATGTCTGTCTGTACGTATGTTCCGAATAGAAAATTCCATTTCTGAACCGATCCGGACCAAACTTGGCACACATACACTTCGGGCCCCGGCGGGTGTCATAGGCTACTTTTCGTCATCGATCGATATCGATTTTATCGATTTTTATAGATTTTTTTGCTGAGTTCACCTACGGGGCTGGGAGTTGGCACAGGGGGGTAATCGAGCATGGGGATTCCGAATACAATATTGGTTTCCAGGATTATCGATTACTTTTATCGATTTTATCGATTTTTTTGCAAAGTTTGAGCTACGGGGCTGGGAGTTGGCACAGGGGGTAATCGAGATGGGGATTCCGAATACAATATTGGTTTCCAGGATTATCGATTACTTTTATCGATTTTATCGATTTTTTTGCAAAATTTGAGCTACGGGGCTGGGAGTTCGCACAGGGGGGTAATCGAGCATGGGGATTCCGAATACAATATTGGTTTTCGGGATTATCGATTACTTTTATCGATTTTATCGATTTTTTTGCAAAGTTTGAGCTAGGGGGCTGGGAGTTGGCACAGGGGGGTAATCGAGCATGCTGATCATCCCCAAGGGGGGTGATCAGCATGCTCGATTACACCCCTGTGCCAAATTCCAGCCCCCTAGCTCAAATTTTCAAAAAATCGATAAAATCGATAAAAGTAATGGACGATCTTGAAAACTAATATTGTATTCGTAATCTGCATGCTCGATTACCCCCTGTGCAAACTCCCAGCCCCGCAGGTCAAACTTTACAAAAAAATCGATAAAATCGATAAAAGTAATGGACGATCCTGAAAACTAATATTGTGTTCGTAATCAGCATGCTCGATTACCCCCCCTGTGCAAAATCCCAGCCTCGCATGTCAAAATTTACAAAAAATCGATAAAATCAATAAAAGTAATCGATAATTCTGAAAACTAATATTGTATTCGGAATCCCCATGCTCACTTCCCCCCTGTGCCAACTCCTAGCCCTGTAGGTGAACTCTGCAAAAAAATCGATAAAAATCGGTAAAATCGACATCGATCGATAACGAAAAGTGGACTGTGACACCCGCCGGGCCCGAAGTGTATGTGTGCCAAGTTTGGTCCGGATACGGCGGAGCCGGGTAAGCCAGCTAGTATTCTATAAAATAGTTTCTTTCGCAGCAATCACACTTCGAAACATGAGGTGATGACAGGGCTCGGCACGAGCCGGCACCAGGAAAATTCCAAAACGAAGTCCCGTTTGATCTTGAAAACTTCGTACGAAGTCCCCTTTGAACTGTTTTGAAGACTCGTCATTATTTTTAGATTATGTAAAAGTATGTAGTAGGGTTTTCATGCATCCTGATTTCATGGAACAACTTTTCACAGCTTTCTGAGCTTTTTAAATGGTTGAATCACATCTTGAGAAGCAGGAAAAACCGATTTTTCGACTGCGGAGCAGACCGAGCAATTTTTAGATGGTTATAAAACGCTGTAAAGGAAACATTAAGAAATTGTTTTTTCTCTGTATGTGAACTTTTACGGTGTAGATAAATCTTATGTAAAAAAATATGAAAACTTATGTGAGCAAAGTCTCGGTGCCAGCTCAGCTGGCACCCAGCTGGCACGGTGCCAGCTAATTCAGAAAACAAATCGGCACAGCTTTCATTCACACAAGTTTTCACAAATTTTTGGGCCATAGTTCGGGTCCCCCAACGCGCATGCACACACCAAATCTGGTGTCATACTATTGCGTTCTGGCTTAAAACAACGCCTTTGTTTGTTCAATGGGCAGCATGCCGCTGGCATGCCGGCGGCATTCTTGCGGTTCTTCTCCGCCCTGGACCCCGAAAAAACGATATCCCCTTTGCTTTCCGCCCTAAAAACGACATTCAGCTTGATCCGGTGCCAGCTGTGCCGAGCCCTGGGTGGTAACTTTAGCCCTATGGCTAACCTAACACTTTCCTAGAACGAGGGTAAGTTCGTCATTCAATCCATTACAAAAAAGAGATATTTCTTTAAAAATATATGGATCGGCAGAGAGACATCCAGTATCTAAGTTGAGTGTTTACTACAAATTACGCTAGATCCCTCCACTCGCTGAGTCCCGGAGAAGGTCGAGAAAATTTCAAATTTCAAGTCAAATTTCTGCTTACTCGGAAAATAACATTTGAAAAAACTACTGCACATGGTGCAGCACGCTGCTTCAAAGGATCTTTCTGGCGTTCACAGGAGGTTTCCTTTTAGTCCAAAGTTGCTAAGTCAAAGGTCTAACAAGGAGAGGATACTTAGTCGAAAGCACCGATCCAGATGAGACATACATCGTCGTGACCTGCTCGGAGCGCTGATTTCAAATCTGGCAAAATCAGCTGCAGAGCGCCTTTGGGTGAGGAGCTATGACCGTTTCAAGAGCCAAAAATTGAATGGGTAAAGAGAGTAAAATTTATTGTTACAGCATGTATATTTCGCAGATAGACTCGTTTTGAATGTGAGTATAGCAGACGGACATTTTTCTTTGCGCAGAGTAATCTGACAGACATCACTCCCCCATTCGAGCCCAACTGGAGACTTCTGCGCATAGTTTTTTTTCTTCCCTTGATTTCAAATTTTCTTCACAAAAACAACCATAACTCGTTGCCCAAAGGCGCTCCGCAGTTAATTTTGCCAGATTTGAAATCAGCGCTCTGAGCACGTCCAGATGATATATGGCTCATCTGGATTGGTGCTTTCGACTAAGTATCCTCTCCTTGTAAGCTCCTACTTCTCAAATGACTCTGTAGAGCTGTGCCGCGCATCTTTGTTTAGAAGATATGAGGACAAATCGAACAACTGTTGCAACGAAGTGCGGCAATGCGAACGACGCGTGCGACGTCGCAACTTTTCTTTGCTTCGATTTCAAAGAGAAAAACCCTAGTTTCAATAATGGTGTGTACCGTGTATAACATAGATACTTTTGAATACAATTTGAAACTAAGTTCTTACTCCTGCCTTTCAAGAAAGCACAAAAGTCCCTCTCGAGCGACAAAATTCAAACACTTCGAATTTACTCAAAACCTTGGGTATGGAGCTTATCTGACATGCTGGTTACAGATGTGGCCCACAGGCTGCGAAATAAGGTCCCTTTGTAGGCTATCGGCTGAAAGTACGCTCTTTTTCGCCGCGCGCGATTTCGTGGTCCGAAATGTGTTAATAACAGCATTTTTGCTAAAAGCAGGGGACATGAGACAGACTCCATCGAACCTCTATACCTGTTATGACTTCATATTCGTCTAAACAAGCTCACTCCCTTTCTATCCCTGGAAAAGATTTAGCGGCCTGGACTTGAACTGATTCAGTGGGGTGTTTGCCTGTTTTTGTTTGTTGCTGGTTGTTTAGTGTGATGCTTCGTTTATGTGTCAAATGGGCATTGGCAATGGGCCTTGTGCGATCAAATAAATAAATGAATATTGTCGACTCCCCAACTTTGGCGAGGCGGGATCGTGATCTTCACCAAAGATCGATGGATCAGGTATGCCTCAGCACAGGGCAACCGCAACGCAAGGCACGCTAGCGCAGCTCCGCCTCGCCAAAGTTGTGGAGCCGCTCATGCATAAAATTGTGGAAACACTACCAAATCCGGTCGCTCTTCATCACTGTAGGACTATAAAAACACAGCAGAGCTTATCGAGCCATTAAGGGCTATATTTTGCCTCAGGAAAGAAATCAAATAACTCAAAACTCTCAATTCAAGCTGGAGTGGCTTGCCCAGTCCTACAGATATTTCAGTGGCGATGAAAGGGGCGGTGAGAGAGGACGACATGGTTCCGCAGATGTTCACAACATGACAAAATGCGCAGCCGCTTTTCTATCTTCAAACAAAGCAAGTTTTTCGCATTCCATCTCCTCCCCTGGCTCCATCCTACAGAGCAGAGAAATCCTTGAAGGGCCTCGCAAAAGAATCGCAGACGTGCTAGCTCAAAGACTGCCATCGCCGCATATGTCAGAGGAAACATCTGCCAGCACATGGTATAATACAATGATATATGGATTACATCAATAACCACAATTTTAAAGATTTATTTTGACATATGTAATGCGTACACAGTTTATAACCTTCCACAAAACTACTAGTTACTTTCCCTACTTCCCTCCCTCCCCGCATTCCCGCTGGTTCTCAATCACGTCATGACCGCCATCTCAAACTCCTCTCCACAGTTACAGCTACACAAAATATATTTGCGATATGGGATAAAAAAAACCTGTGGATGGTCCACTCAGCAGATCAAATAGAGAAAACCTTATCGAATGAGCTTGACCGGATCTAGTCCTTCAGACAGGTTATTATTCTCTGCTGTGAATACTCAAACAAAATTACTTAGCCGCATTTTTCAAGGACAAAAATAATCGCGATCCTCTCAAAGACGTTGTCATCTGCTGGATGAAAGCAAGTACAGCAGCATCCTTCTCACACACCCGACCAGCGTACAAAACTACAAGATATAGCTCGGCTTCCACAATGTCACCAAACATGCACTGAAATGGAATCCAGTATCAGAGAAAGATATGAGACTAAACTTCGAAGAGTCATCTGTAGCGTAAAACTATCGTGAATTTCGACACTCACATGATCTTTTACGGGATCGTAAAAATACTTGTTGCGCACCGGATGTCGAAGATTTGACTCAATAAACCCGTAAATGTTTTCCTGACATCTCTCAAAAATATCATTATGTGATTGTGCCTGAAAGTTACGCAAATGGATCTTCTGTCATCTGCAGATAACAGCTAGCAGATACCGATTTATGCCCCTCTGAAGGCGAAGGCAATCGAAACACAGCTGGGCACAAAGCAGCGACTCCTTTCCTTGGTTCTGTAGGTGGGCCAGGAGTAAAGCGATCCTTCAACCGATGATAGCCAAATCCTACATAAAAACTTAGGAGCAGGACCAAATTGTAGTCGAAACTAACCGTAGAAACTGTCTGAGCATTGCTCTCGATCCATAACTATAGCAAGACAAAGAGCATCCGTTTTCTTAACAAACTGAGTGGCATTTGAGATGAAATTGAACCCGTTATCGATAGTATGCACGGTCTGAAACAACACCAATTTGCGAAGATCAATTGTACTCAACGACTCACTTTCAAGTCATCAACGCTACAGAAGTTGGCCAGGACGTTAGTGAAGTACAGTGAGAACTTGGCCATGAGCAAGTTGTAAAATTGTATTAGCCAGTTGATGAGGCGATTGCGAGGCAATTTTTCGTTAGATCTAGCGGATGGTAAATTATTTAGATTAAAAGTAAACATTATAAGTAGCCAATCTGTAAAAACCAAACCTGAAGAAATAGAACACCGATTTATTCACCGGATTCAAACAGTGAGCGTCACGAATCCAGAAGTCGAACCTTTCACGAATCTCTTTCAACTGCAGAAGACTTTCAAACATCTGAAAAAGTGATTCAGCGACAATACAAAGTACTAACCAACGTACCTTGCAATTTGCTATGTGAATTTGAGCAGAGACGAGTAGAAGCAACACGTCTATTTCACCTGACAGCAGATGAATCATCGAGAATAAAGACTGATGCCGGCAATCTTTCAACATTTCTGAGACCCGCAATCCTCGAGCATGCAAAGAATCCCAAAGAATCACGCGATCATTCGCTAAATGAAGGTTAAAGCCATCTCAGCCGTCGTGATGGGTGCAAGTCTGATAGAGAGGAAGAGAACTGACCTTTCGTTGAAGAGGTATCCAAAAAACATGCCTACTGTTTGTTTGGTTTAACTCTTTTAGAAGGAAGTTTTTCGAGAATCTTCGAGAATAATTTTGAAAAGCTGGCTCCGACTTATGTACATTTTCTCTATTTATTACTGTAAAATTACGGTAGGAAATTTCGGCGTCACTGTGAAATATCGCCATTTTGGAAATTAAAAAGATTCTAAAACTTCTTTGATACGTTTTTCATAGACGCCGAAATCAATGGTCTACTTGACATAATTGTGCAGCTTTCTAAACGGTGCAACCATATTTTTTTTAGCAACATCGGAAAAAGCGGCTGACCTGGCATAACTTTTTAAAGAAGCATTGTATTGAGATCTAAGCTTCATATTTGAAACCAGCAGCTCTAAATAACCCAGTGTGAAAGTTTTCAAAGCTTGTTTTCTTTCTTAGCCAAATTACGGCCCTTCAGGCTCAAAACCTTTTTAAGTTCCTACCGTCATCCTAAAATAGTGAAGAGCAATTAATGATTCGCTCCATACTGTAAATCTAAGTTGACGTCAGCTATACAAAATAGTACCTATAGCTTCTCCCAAGAATGTTCATGGCAAGAGAGTTATTATCAGTCAAACAATAGGCACAGTTCTAGGAATGTTTACCAAAAATGGGAATAACTCAATGCACTATAAACATACCAAGGCTAGCTATGGTGGTAAAGATGCTTATCATCTCAACTCTCGCCAATACATACTGTCTACATTCGGTCAGGATCTGCTCAATTTCCGATGTTGAAGACGATTCATTCTCAGAACGCGGTGTTGACGATGAAGCGCGCACTAGCTTCTCGCTGGAAGAACAAAATTGACGACTAGTGCATGTTCAAAATCACACACCTAATCTGATAATATTGATTCTTCAACGCGTTTTCCTTACGAAAGAACGCTTTGGGCTGAAGAAATGACAGAAAATAGTAGCTCTTATCGCAATTCGCCAACTAAAAAGTCACAGTATCAGCATTAGAAGAAGCTATGAACAAGGACTCACCATCACTAGAGACGACAGTAGTGCAGCCAAAGACACATCTTTCTCGTTGATGATAATCAATGATTTGGATGAAGACTGAGTATACTGTTCGATGACTTCTCGCGCTTGGTCGAACTGAAGTGTTGTCACGTACATACAGACAAAATATCTGCATGAAATCAAGAAAAAACAAATTATTTGCTCTAATGTTTTGAAAAGCATTCGCCCTGACAGGTTAGGCCATTCAAAAGGCTCAATTATTTATTTTTGAAATTACGTGGTACCCAGAAGACCACAAGAATGTAGGAGGCCAGCTGTGCATCACTCGCTTCTGGTGTTCGAAATGCTTCCCAAAGAGGTAGTCACACACGGATCTCACGACCAAAACGAAAAGGGCTCAAAACGGTAGAGCCGTAGCAACGCTCCAACGTGATGGAACGAAGACCAGACCCAAAGAAAGCGTGTAATGAAAGAGATCTGGCCAAAGCTTTACACCCTTGAAAGCAATGATGAGATGTGATGATCTCGATGTGTCCACAGTGCTCACCTACCTGAAATTTTTCGACACATTGCCCGTACTGCTGAATGACCTGTTCGACTTCTGATAGTCTGAAGAGAGGTCCACTGGAACGAGCAACTGCAAAAAATGACTCAAAGGAGATGGGAAACGCAAACAGAAAGCCTAAAGTATTTCCTACTAGCTGGCTTACCCGGCTCCGCCGTATGTTCCGAATAGAAAATTCCATTTCTTAACCGATCCGGACCAAACTTGGCACACATACACTTCGGGCCCCGGCGGGTGTCACAGTCCACTTTTCGTTATCGATCGATGTCGATTTTATCGAGTTTATGCAAAATTTGAGCTAGGGGGCTGGGAGTTGGCAGAGGGGTGTAATCGAGCATGCTGATCACCCCCACGGGGGTGTGCCGATATTGTCGGCACCTCCTTAATTCTATATCACTTCGCCTGTATCTCACTGAGTAAGTACCGTAAAGGTCATGCCATAAGCATGACCCGCTGTAATACAAGTCTGTTTACTGCCCAGATGCCTAGTAACTTATATAGCCACGCCTATTATCGTTAGCATTCTACCACTGCACGAATGGGTGCATGTCGTCTGTTCAATAAAGCTCTAATAGCTTAGTGTTCTATTAACACACCAGGAGCCACCATACTTCACTACAGGCGCCACCCATTTGCCTAAGGCCACAATAAAGCCTACCAACCACCACATTTATGGTGCATCGGCCAAATTCGAAGGCCGATAAAGTGCTTCGCTTCTGACGGCAGCACTCGAGGAACGATGAGGATCTCGCCTTTCCTCAAAGATGTAATCAGAACGTCCGTCAAGGAACTCGCGGAATTACTCCAGAAGTACGCGTGCCACGGTGAGAACAAAAATTTTCCAGACGACCAAGGGCGCCAAGAACTAGGCACTTCACATCTGGATATGCTTACAAAATGCACAGAGGAAGTCAAAGAGAGTATCGAACTGCTGGAAATGGACTACGAAATGTTGATGGAAAGGCTCGAGGAAGTTAATCACGAAGCTGCGAAGAAGGTGATGGCGGAGGAATGGGACAAACTCGAGGAAGAGATAAGATTTTTTAAAACCCTTACTGACGCTCGCATGTTCGTTCATCTTCTGCAAGCCCGTATAACATTATGCGAGACGGAGCTGAATAGGTTAACATGCAGAAGATCGTTTGCCACACAAAGCCAGAGCGCTGATATTACGCTTAATGATCAAAACAATGATTCACCATCAGAGGTGAGCCATATCAGCGATATTCCAGAAGAGGAGTATATCAGTGATGCGATGCAAGATGACAATAGTGGAAGCGACAGTGAAAACGGCGCCAAAAACTACAAGGCTGAAAACAGTGATGGCAATTTACGAGCTACCGCAGACTGGAGGATGACCCTAGCACAGGTCATTACATCAGGAATGCCACAGGCAGACACAGGCGATGTCAGTGAAAGGCGACATTCTCAGAGTTTGCAATTTCGATGCAAGGTGAAGAACGACAAGAAGCGTGGTCGCGAATCTCTCCATACGCATTCACAAGTATATGCTAATCTACAGAAACGCAGTATACACCATTCTAGTTTACACTCGTCTTCCTTTCCACTTCATGACAGTCCCTCAGCTTGCCGGCGCCTCATCTTCAATCGCATCGCAGTGGAGCAACGACCTCTACGAGATCCAGACAAACGCCACCGCTCAATAGACAACTGTTGTTACATGCTCAAATTTGCTATTTTGCTGAGTGATCAGCATGCTCGATTACCCCCCTGTGCCAACTCCCAGCCCTGTAGCTCCAATTTTCCAAAAAAATCGATAAAATCGATATCGATCGATGACGAAAAGTGGACTGTGACACCCGCCGGGGCCCGAAGTGTATGTGTGCCAAGTTTGGTCCCGATCGGTTCAGAAATGGAATTTTCTATTCGGAACATACGTACAGACAGACATACATACAGACAGACAGACAGACAGACAAACAGACATTCAGCTTTATATATAAGATTCCTTAGGCTTTGGCCAGACTTTGCCCGTGTCACCGGTGTTGAAAGTGTTGCCGGTGTTGAAAGTGTTGAAAGTGTTACCGGTGTTGAAAGTGTTGAATGGAGATCATCAGTCTAGCAGTTTCATTTTTTCTCGAACGATCTCACCGGCTGGTGAATACGTTGGAAATGGAATTGGGGAATGAGAAATGAAACTGAAATGAGATGGGGAAGATTTTCCATGCAAAAGATCCTCAAACAAACTTTTTGGAAAGTGGACGGCTTGTCTGGAATAGGCAATCTCCAATATTTGAGAAAGCTGACGTCTGAGTAGTAATGTGTTTTGGTTCGAACCCTGCCGCGCTTGCGATTAGTGAGTAAAGGACCTAAGTGAGGTCTGCAGCGTTTTCGAATAGTGGAGATTGCCTATTCCAGACAAGCCGTCCACTTTTCAAAAAGTTTGTTTGAGGATCTTTTGCATGGAAAATCTTCCCCATCTCATTTCAATTTCATTTCTCATTCCCCAATTCCATTTCCAACGTATTCACCAGCCGGTGAGATCGTTCGAGAAAGAATGAAACTGCTAGACTGATGATCTCCATTCAACACTTTCAACACCGGCAACACTTTCAACACTTTCAACACCGTTAACACTTTCAACACTTTCAACACCGGCAACACTTTCAACACTGGCAACACTTTCAACAGCGGTAACACGGGCAAAGTATGGCCAAAGCCTTAATTAAACTTACTGTCACAAGATTCCTCATCAGAAGGAGTCGCATCCGTCGCTGCTAATCTGATGCTTGATACTTCCAATGCCTCTGCTGCTTCGCTAACTTCTGCATCTTCACCATCTTCTTCAGCGTTCATCTATTCGAAGGAAGAGGCTGCGATTGTAGTAGTACGACAAGCATTGCTGCCGCAAGATACACCACAAATTGTGCAGAACACAATTGCGCGTCAATCGACGGCGAAGAGTGCATGTTCAACACGTGTGAGAATTTCCTGTTCTTGAACCCGTTCGCTACGATTTTCTAGGTGTTTTATCTATTTTGACGTTCCTACACGGGGACTGGTGTAATTGGTGCAGCTAGCACTGCTAGAGCTTGTTTTCTTGTTTTTCGTCGTGATTGGGTGATTTACTTCTGCTATATTTTTAATTCGAGCGTTTGAGTAGTATATGATTATGTTTATGTCAGATTTTTACAAACGTCTCTTTGATATGACGTGAGCGATTTACGCCACGATTATCCCAAGCGACGAAAGTAACATCATTCGATCTTGTGCGCGTCTGTCAATATGGCTGAGCGTCCTATTGAAATTAATGTTGATATTGACGTACCAGCTCCTAACCCACAACAAAATCGTAATGGTGATGCAAGAGCGCAGGGGCAGGTATGTCTTCCTATATTGATACAGCAGAATTGTAGAAAATGCTTGGCAACACTTGTATTTCAGAATAATACTCAGTTCGGTGTTGTGCGTGATCGGCTATTTCACGCTATGTTGGTGAAAGTCGCGTTAAGCTATAGCTCTCATGTGAGCATATTCTGGCGGCGGGTTATCGAATTTGTTTCTCTGTTGATTGTGAGCTTTTATAGATTTTTTTGTTTTTTTCTTTGCAATACATACTGTCAAGCAAACCTCGCGTTCCAAATTCACGTTATTCAGAAATTTTGTTTGGCTTATGTTTTGGCTGCACAAATCTTAAGTGTTGCTTTCACAGTCATTTTTCAGCTATTCCTTTTCAACTTTTCTTATCTGAAATCAAGTGTTTTTTATGTTTGTTGCAGGCACTTTCATTACTTTGTACTCTGTTGTTTGTTCATTTGATGTTTACTCGTTCATCCACTTCTTGCCTCGATCATATAAAGGACTCATGGCCAAAAGATGGTAATTTTTTTAATTTCTTAGTTAGTCTCGCCTGTTCATAGTCCCCAGGGATTATTCCAGCGAAGAATCTTTTTCTTGCTTTTATCTAACTTAGATGAGACGCCACAGCCCTATATTTATGTCATTTGTATAGAAGAAATACTACGTATGATCGGCTCCCAGATTCGTGTGGAGGCGGATTGCGGACTTTCCCTGGTTGCAAGGAGAAACTTAACGAGGAATTACGAAAAACAATGCTGTTCACAAGTGTATTTATGATTCAGAAAGTCCGCAACCCGACTGCACACGAATCTGGGAGGCGATATTGTGTATGCGCGTTTGTTAAAAAATGGTAAACTCTCTTTAGGGAGCAATAAAGAGGTGCTAATTTGCAAAACAAATCCTTTTTATTTTTCGAACTAGCTGGCAAACCCGGCTCCGCCCGGCCCTGTCATTATTATATTCGTAATCAGCATGCTCGATTACCCCCCTGTGCCAACTCCCAGCCCCGTAGCTCAAATTTTGCAAAAAATCGATAAAATCGATATCGATCGATAACGAAAAGTAGCCTATGACACGCTCCCTGCCCCGAAGTATATGTGTGCCAAGTTTGGTCCAAATCGGTTCAGAAATAAAAATTTCTATTCCGCACATACGTACAGACATACAGACATACAGACAGACATACAGACAGACATTCAGCTTTATATATAAGATTGCGAGGAGCTAGTTGTTTTTTTTTTCGGAAGTCTTTCATTGATGTATTTGCATGTCTGAAGATCTAAATGTTTCTGGTTATATATTTATGGAGGATTAATTTCACTCAAACTGATGTTTAGGAGTAGTTCGTCTAGAGGTTGTGCATAATCTTCAAATGCTAGAGTACAAGGAAAACTGGATCAACTGGTATAGTAAGTTTTTTTTTGTATCGCATTTCCTGATTTTTCTCGAGTTTCGCTAGCTTGCTGGTACTCTAAGGTTTGTAGCTATTAACTAAGTATTTTTCTGGATATCTTCTTCGTAACGTAGAATCAAGGTCTACCTTTCGAGCATGACATATGCTAACATTTCGAAACCAACTACTACTTATTTGTAACGTTTCTCGTTTGCAGAGAATGAGCGAAGGCGGATGACGTGTCATTTTAATCCGGTAGATGTGCTTCTTTATGGTCCTCAAGCAATACCTGCTGAAATGCGAGCTGGACGACCACAAACAACAGAGAAATTAATAGCGCCGAACAACGTAATATATGTTTAGTTTGAAATCAAGTTTTATTTGCAACAGTGGAAACGTGCTTACTACCTTGAATGTTATCTATAGTCTTTGAGGGCCCTTCACTCTAGGTTTATACTCATCATTTTAGAGCAATGGGAGTGGTCAACGAAACGAGCATGAAGCGCCACGCGAATCTGGCCTTCTGAGCTATTTTCTTCGCGTTCCTACCGAACTGCTTCTGAATAATGAGCAATCGTCTGATTATGAGTCTTACGTATGTATGATCGCAGTTGTGGGTATCGCAAATCCTACTGCTTAGGATGACTACGAAGAAAGTGAAGAGTATTCTGGTGCAGTGTATGAGCAGGAAATCGATGCTGAAACAGCATTTAGTGATCATTTTCGCCAACGTTTCAGTAAGTTCAACGCGCTCTTGCCGTGCTTGTTCCTGTCAAAATTTTCACCTATTCAAAGAACCCGAAGACGCGTATCGTTATGAGTACAGAGTGGAGTACTCTCTTCTCTATGGAATTCTTCGCCTACCTGTTTCGTTTCGACACAAACACAATATCACTACCCTGTGGGCGAGAGTGAGCCTTGATGTTGTCAGTTGTGACTCTTCATAACTTTGGCGTTTTTCTTCCAGGTTGACGCAGACTCAGACTGCTTTGGAGATGCTTTCTCTCGACGAGTAATGCGTGCTGTCATTGGATTCGAGGATGTTGTCATGGCTAGTCTCCGTGCACTCGCACAGAATTCTAGTGAAGATGGTAGGTTACTTTTTGAGTTAATGACATTCTGTATCTTGGGGGATTTAAAAAATGTTGATGAGTAGTCTTCTCTTCCGCAACCTTACACATGTCTCGACAAACATAGCATAGTGAACTTCATCACCCGTCATTTGGAGCACTTCGAGTCCAATTCATCCATCCCTCCGTGTTCATATAAGCTAAATGGGCTTACTGGAGATCGTTTGATGTTTAGTGAATCAATTTGAACTCATGAGAATGTGATGGATCCAGACAAAAAATCGATAGTCTCTGAGGTAGTTCCATTTTAGACTCATCTGGACTTGGATATTTGCACGATTTGTCGACAAACGAACACTTCCACTTCGTTTCATTCATGATGTCCAAAAGCAGCTATATCACAGCAGCTATTGTAATGCTAATATTCGTGAGTTTTTTTCTACATGATCAAATCGCACGCGGCGGTCCACTGCGCCTATTTTCTTGCGTTGAGAAAATCACGTAGCTTCCATGCGTGCCTATCAACCACATAGAGCTAATTAGTAGATGTCCTTTGGTTTCCAGACGTTTGCCATCTCAATGCTTCTCCGGTTTTCTCACCATCAGATATTTCTCTTTATCGTGGATTTATTGCATATGTTTGAACTGAATCAACCGCTCGTATTTCCTGCAGCTCCGCTTCTCACTGTTATCCTTGCATTAGTCGGTGAGTTGGCTCAAATCTTTGTCAGAATCAGACGAGCTGCATCACTCTGCTCAGGCATGGAGGCAATAATGTCCGAAGTTTTTGCTGATACAACAACAGCGTTTTATGTAATTCTTATTGTTTGGATTGCTGATCAGTACGATGCCATCTGTTGCCATTCGCATGTCAGTAAGCGATTTTGGCTAAGGTAAGGTTAACCTGCTGAGTTGGCAGTTTCTCTTCCAACTTGGCTATTACTCGCCGTTATCTTCCGTTGGTGTCCCTCAGAAACATAGTCCGAACTTGATTTGGCGAATGTGAAATTAGACACCTGGAATTTTTTTCGAACATAACTTAAGTCGCCATATCCGACGTATTTTTTGGAGTTGGCGATATCGTCTGTAGTGCAATTGGAATTGTCATTGAACTTTAGATTTTTCTACCTATACCAGTTCTTCTTCTACGCCTATCAATACCGATTTGGAGGTCAGTATGGTGGAATGGCGTTAATAACGTCAACAGCTTTTATAATTGTACGTTCCCTAGGCTACCAGAGCTTGATTATAATTCAATTTGGTATCTGTCTTTTGATTTTTCACTTCTAGCATTCCATGATATTTTTCTTCCATCATTATGAGATGCCTCTGATACTGTATCAAGATCGATTGCAACGTATTCTCACAGAAATCAATACTGCGCCGGTGGGATAGTTCGTGTTCATTGGTATGGTTAACCTCTTCAAACGAGCTCTTCCAGCCAGCTGGCCCCTTGGACGTTCAGCAAGTTACTGTTTCGATCCATACGCGTCCTGTGGCACAGGACAACCCTACTGATGAGCAGCATCAAGGGGAAATCCACGAGCCAACATCGCCAGTACAAGAGGTATAGCTTAAATAAATATATTCCACTACTTAGCTTTCGCTCAAATAATGTATTTGTCAGCATTCTACGCAGAATGGTGCTGTAGGATCTGCTAACCACACTGATGCTGATGTAACAGTTACTGGGGAAGCATCAGGTGTGCGATTTTTCGTGTTTCAAAGACGATTTCAAACATTCCTTTTCTGTTGAGTGATGAGGAATGTAGCTTGCAAGCGAATTTTAATGGGTTGATTAATTAGCTTGCTAGCAAATTAATCTACTCGTAAAAAGTTCAACTATCCAATTTAGTCAGCTATTCTCTAAGCTAAGCTAACTATTTTCTACTTATAGTTTTGAACTCCACACTTCCGTCCTCATCTACGGATCCTGTTGAAAGAATAGCGGAAGAGGTAGTGTCGGAAGCAATAGATGAACTTTTTCTCTCGTAGTGCCTCGCCAAATTTCTTTGTTAATTATCTTCAACTATAGTCTTTACATCGTGTGGCGACTTCGAATTTACCTGTTGTTTTTATAGTCAAGAAGCTTAGAGTCCAAAGACTGTTCTAGAAAATCTTTTATTGGACCATGGTCCATTTTGTGTTCGTAGTTGGTGTTAGTGTCTTTTATGTTATTTGTGCTTACTAATGCGCATCATCGTTGTTTTCTGTGATACGAAATTGTACTATGCGTATTCTCTTGGCCACTTTGGCTAATTACCGGTATATACATAAGGAGTCCTTTTCCACATTGTAACATCTAACGTGATCTTGCTCTCGCCAGCCTTTTTCTTTTGCTCTCCTGCTCGCGACTCTAATCATTTTTCGGGTAGGCGGGCTGTCGTTGTGTTTTTGTGATAGTGGATGTTCCTGTATCGAAGAGTTTGCAGATGCTTTTGAAGCGATTTTCTTGTCTATAGTTGTTGTTTTTCAATTATTCTATTGCGCGCTTATGGATGCAATGTGTGCGAAATTCGTCATAAAAGTTGGTGTAATGCTTTTGCAGGAACACGCTTAGACGGATGCGTTGGCTCTACATACCCCAAGATATTCAATTTCTTGTTTCTTACTAGTGGAGCACAAGTCGCTGTTGAGCGTAAAAGTCAGAGAATAGCCAAAAGCGGATATTTGGTGGGCATCGCGTGCAGCGCTGGGTCTCATTCCGGTCGTTGCTGATGAGATCGGCCAGAGTAGGCCGAGTACGATGCTCCTCTGAGATTTCGGCATTAGGCAGTGACAAACAGCTGGGCTCTATGGAATGCTGTCGTTGTCGTCGCATATCCAGCGCACTTCCTTTTGGAGCCATGGATCTCCCTTATAACCTCAGCTTGTACTTTGAATGCCGTGCTTTTCCGGCCTTAGTGGTGCGTGCATGATGCAGTCGGTTCTTCGCAAATTGCATTGCATTGGAGGAGTTGACACCTCGTTTAGTCTTTGAACTCAGTCATGACCGCTGTTTGGTGTCAGTCAGCAGTCTGACTTAGGCAAAAAATAGAAATTCATCTGCCGTCGTATGCGCTAGAAAAGAGCGAAAACGTATAGTGCGAGTCAAATCATCACTTTTGAAACTGCGAGCAATCTGTTCTTTTTGTAAACAATATCATTCCGTACACTTAGGCCCGTATGCACGTACATCCGGGGAGGGGAAAGGATCTGGGAGGGGAGGCGCCATATCTCGCTGCTCTAGATATCTTTCTTCCTTCTTCTCTATCGTGCTTATAAAGTTTCTTATACCCTTGTACCTGCGCATAATGGATGTTAGGTTACTGCTATACAAGATCAAATATTCGCTATTTCTTCCGATCCCCTGGGGATCCCCAGGGGATCATCTCACATTTAAAAAGTCATTTATCTTCCTAAAAAATCAACGAAAACACTGCAAAATTGTACTGAAGATATACTACGATATTGCTGAGCATGTTTTCGACAGAAGAAATGGAATCTAAAGATTTTGATTTTTTCGATAATCCCTGGCTCGCAAGCAGCGGTTCATCGAAGATTTTGATATCTTGAGATTTCACTCATTTCTACCATAAACATGTTTGGAGTGCTGTAGTATATCCACAGTACAATTTTGCAGCGTTTTCATTGGTCTTTCAGGAAGATAAATGACTCTGAAAATGTGAGATGATCCCCTGGGGATCCCCAGGGGATCCGACGAATTAGTGATTATCTAATCTTGTATGGCAGTAACCTAGCATCCGTTGTGCGCAAGTATCAGTGTATGAGAACCTTCAAAACCAAGACAGAGAAAGAAGAAGAAAGATACATAGACTATCGAGATATGACGCTTCCCCTCTCAGCTCCCCTCCCCTCCCCGCGGGGATGTACGTGCATACGGGCCTTAGTTATCGTCATCAATAAGATAATCTGTTCTTGAGTGCAATCTGGTCTTATGCAGTCAATGTGTTGCTTGTATATCTCGCGTCCATAGAAACAGATTCGCTTTTCTCCAGTTGTTTTTTATGAGTTCTTCATTTAGTTTTTATTCACTTGAATTGGCTAGATAATGTCATTGCCAACTCCTGTATATAAGCTGAATGCTGCACAGAAGCATTCAGTCTATGAGCCAGCTGAGGACACATTCCTTCTCTTGGACGCTATTGAAAAAGATATTCAGGTGGTTAAAAAATTCGTCAACCCCGTATAACCGTGGAAGTAATATTTCAGATGTTGCGAGAGTTATCACCGAAAATCGTGCTGGAAATTGGCTGTGGTTCCGGCGTAGTATCCACTTTTGTGAATCAGGTTTGCGCTAGGTTTTTTTCTTTGTCAAAAATTGGATCAATCAACTGATTCTCTGGCTAATTTTATGCTCCTAGGACAGCTATCAACTAACTCTAATTCCGCTAGAGTTTTCCGTGATTGAAGAGACCGTAGCGTTTAGCGTACCATCCATTCATACACAAAGTTTGAATCGAATCTGAATTATCAGTTTTTACATCAGCACTGACAAAGTTCATGCCGTTTTTTAGACCTATTCTGAAATCGTTCAGAATGATGGTAGACAAATCGTTCTAACAGTATCCGATGCAGAATTTCTTCCATTTTCCCGGAGCTATGCTTCCGTTGTGACTGCTTTGGCGAGAGCTGAGATAATTGCCGAAAACTAGAACCCTTCATTTCTACCTTGTCTAACTTTCGATAATTTTTAGTATTTTCATTTTAGACATTTAAAGGTGCTATAGCAACCACCTGATAAGGCAAACCTTTTTCAAATTAATGCAATTTTTTGCATTTTTCAGCTTCCTCTTTAGAATTTTGCTGAATTATTCTAGCAGAGCATTGAATTTTGAAAAAGTCGGTTAACACATAATTGCACCAAACACTGCGAAATTTCCAAAATATTCAAGTTCCAAAACTCGGTCATTACTATCACTAGTACTGCGAAGTAAATTAGCGATTACGGCGTGAAAATGAATAGATTTTGGAATTTCGACTACAAACCTTGCGCACCCGTAAAATTGGAAAGTACAGCGATTTTGTCTGCAAAAACCGCGTGCTTCGCCAAGAAAAAGTAGCTGTCAGAAAGGCAAGAAAAATATGCATCGAATGGTACCTAAACTGTTCAGCGTCTGATGTTTTGCAAGGTTAGAATGAGCCAAATATAAAATTCAGTCACTTCAGAAAATATATCTAGTAATTCCAGAAAGCCTGCTAGAGAGATGCAAAAAATTGCATTGATTTGAAAAGATTTTTTTTTCGTTTGCCCTATCAGGTGGTTATCAGTAGACCTTCAAAAGCCTAAAATGAAAATTCTGAAAATTAGCGAAAGTTAGACATGGTAGAATTGAAGAGTTCTAGTTTTCGGCAATTATCTCAGCGCTTGTCAAAGCAGTCACAACAAAAACATAGCTGCTGGAAAGAGGAAGAAAATCTGCATTGAATGCTCTTCAAACGATTTGTCTATCATCATTCTGAACGATTTCAGAGAGGTCTAAAAAACGGAACGAACTTTGGGACCTATCTAATACTTCCCTGCCATTTTGTAACATCTTTTCGCTCATTTGTGTATCATCTTCTTTTGTGGAGAAATGCTAAAAAAAGTGGACAGTTCTGCCGGGTATCACGGATATTGATTATATGGGTTGGGTGAGATGCGTAATTTGTGACAGATGTTTCTGTGGGCAGAGCCTACCGGAGACAAAACGTCTTTTACCTTGCCTTTATCATCAACAATTTTTCCAAACAAAAATTCAAAAATGTTTGGTAAGTGGGGGGTGGTCGATACTTGGGCAGAAAATGCCTTGATTTTTCGGACTTTTCCGCACTGATTTAGGCACTAGGAGGAAATGTCACCTCATTAGCGACAGACTACAATCCGGACGCTCTCGAATGTACTTTGGAAACAGGACGTTTGAATGGTGTCAAAATTGATGTTGTACGAACCGATCTCGATAAAGGATTAGATCACCTAGAGGTATGGCGATATAGTATTTTTCTAGCAGAAGTCGTCTACTATTAGAGTGCCACATTTGTAGTAGCTTCAGAGCGATATAGCAACTTGGCAAATGAGTAAATTTGCCAATTTCAGGGCCAAGTCGATGTGCTTCTCTTCAATCCTCCCTATGTACCAACAGAAGATGATCCTCAGAACGATCTCGTGAGTCTTTTGAATTTCATACTCTGGAAGTTCGATAAATTGGGAAAATTTAGGAACGATGCTGGGCTGGTGGGCCAAGTGGTCGTGGAGCAGTTGACCGTCTTCTGCCTCGAGTACCTAAGCTGCTTTCCTACAAAGGAGTATTCTACCTTGTAGCCTTGCACGCAAATGACGTACCAGCACTGCTGAATTCGTGCCCTGGTCTCATCGGATCCATCGCTATGGAACGGCGATGTGGCATAGAACACTTATATGTTATTAAGTATACTCGAAAAGCAGATTAGGTGCTCCTTCTTCAATGGCATCAGAAAAGGATGTTCTACAAGTTTGCAGAAAATCTTCCTCAGCAGGCGAATCAAAGTATGTCTCGTTGTCCTGGTCACTTCACTCTGTAAATATTGTAAATTTTTAACATTTGTTGGAAATACGAGCTGGCGACTCCAATGTATAATATATACTAGGGTGAACGGTAAAAAATGGGGCACTTACGAAATAACCAGAGGTTTCTCAAGAAGGAGAAGTGATTAAACTTTCAAATTTCGATAGGTGTTAGAATATGTTATTTTCTTTCAGATAATACCTATGTAAGGTCATTTACGTAATTAATAATTTTTATATTTGCTGAAATGCAAAGTTAATCACTTCGACAAATTATGAACTTTGAGCACTATCTGCGCAGTCAAACATGTGAGACCACCAAAGTACCACTGCTGGAGTGGGTGGTGGGACAGTCACCAAACCCACGACGGCTTGGTGGCCTCAACTTTCAAAGTCAGGAGAATGGCCATTAGCAGCTTCGAAAACGAAGATACGCATTATTCAATTCCTTGCAGGTGAACGCATGTTTTCCAGGCACTATCTGATAGAGCTTTTCACGCTCTATCCATCCATATACAGCTTAGATCAGATTTTATCTATCTTCGAAAAATATAGGGCAAAACATGATTTTTTGGTTTTTTATCGCGCCAAAAATAGCTATTTTTCGGGTTTTTTTTTTCGCTTTTTTTCTGAAAATGAAAAAAATCTAGTGCTTTTAACATAACGTTTGAAAGAGCATGAAGAGCTTTTTCGAATGGTATGCCGCTTGCTTTACGACTTTACGGTATAGCAGCGCAAGATAATTGTGCAAAAACACTGAGTTCTCTACGTCGCCACGCGTACGGTTACGAGAGAGGAGCGGCAAGGGTTACCAGAATAATAGGCGAAGGTCGGTTATGTAAGCGACGTTGAGTTGCAGCCTGCTTGTTGTTGGTGAGGACGAAAAATCTCAAAATGAAATAAAAATCAAGCTGCCCCATTTTTTACCGTTCAGCCTAATAGATGTCAGTTGATTTTATCGGTAATCACATTAATTTCAATTCAATCCATCCAAACAAGTGGATTATGTTGTCTATGTAGTCAGCACCAATGATTACATTTTTTATATAAATAACCAAATCAGTGGATTATTGAGTTTGTTTCATCTTGGATATCTGATTATTAATTTACTGCCAATCAGATTAATTAAATGGTCCAGGCAAACTGTGTCTTGCGTTGATATTTATCTTAAGTTCACACAGTTTCATAAAAGTAGGACGAACAAAAAAACACCACATTCTCGGTAGTATTACAATTGTTTGTTACTCTACATGTGGCATTTAGAAGCTAGTAGGTCATAGTCCATTTAACTGGTAGTTCAGCAGGACTAAAACTCTACACCTTCGGTAAAAATGGTTGCTGCGAAGATAGCAATGTGATTTACTGTACCTCTTGCTAGAAATGCAATACGCACTATGTCAGCATGACAACACGCACTCTGGCGATTGATTAAAACAGAACATCTGTCATTCCAAAAAGAGACTTTGTCTGGAATATACTACCATGAAATCGTTTCTTAGCCTTCTGAAGTACTTGAAATTGATGTTGTGATTATGTTTGCTGCCGCTTTCCCTGCAAAGGAGTGGTCTCAATTTGTAAGTGTTCTCATAGATTTTCTTTATTTTGGTAAGTTTTTTATTGTTTACTAGCTGACAAACCCGGCTCCGCCCGGCACTGTTAATAATGTTAGGTTGGAAACTAAGTTTTGCAACTGGTCTCATAACTTCCCTCTCACTCAACATGGCGCACTCAAATTTTGCCACTGCGTTGGTTATTATGTAAGCTACAAGCGCAGCTGCTGTCCTACCAAATTCTGACGTCGCGGTGAGGGTTACAGTAGGTGTATGGTATGAAGGGGAAAAATTCAAAGTTTGACGGATTCAGCTGAAACTTGGCATAGGGGTGTTATCTGACATGCTGATCACAAAAATGATAGTAAAATTGCGTGATAAGGGCTTTTTCGTAGGATTACTGTAAACGTACGATATGGGGTCCCACCCTAAACAAGGAAAAAGGCGTTGGTTCAACAAATGAATGTAATATTCGCGTTTGGCAGGTCAAATAACCTTAGTATGTAAAGTCTCGGCGGAATTTGAGCTTCGGACTCTTTTAGTCATTGACGGTCGTCCCCAGCAGCTCTTGCGCACATCGACTCGTTCGAATTTATGAGGACGCCAAATCTCGACATGCCCCCAAATTTTGTTTCCTTTTTGCTAGACCAAAGGAGTCAACCTTCAGCAATAATTTATAGACGAATCCGGTTTACTGCGCATGATCTAGGCTGCCAAAGGCTTCATTTTAGCTTGAAACTTCAAAAATTCTCAAATTTCACGAGTTTTCGAAAAACGCCTGAACTTTTCTATTTCGTGTTCAAAATTTGGACAATTTGTGCTCAATTGTAGCTCACATTGCCTTCTATATAATGCCAAAGTTTGAGTGCGCCATATCCAAAGCCAGTGAAGTTATGAAACCAGTTGCAAAACTTAGTTTCCAGCCTAATATATTCGTAATCAGCATGCTCACTTACCCTCCTGTGCCAACTCTCAGCCCCGTAGCTCGAACTTTTTGAAAAATCAATAAAATCGATATCGATCGATGACGAAAATTAGCTTATGACACCCGCCCGGTCCCGAAGTGTATGTGTGCAAAGTTTGGTCCGGATCGGTTCAGAATTGGAATTTTCTATTCGGAACATACGTACACACAGACAGACATACATACATACATACATACAGACAGACAGACAGACACATACAAGCAGACATTCAGCTTTATATACAGTGCTGGACATAATTATACAGCCGCTCTAGAAATCGTCGTAATTTTTGTTCTTGTCAATGAATCTGTCTGAAACTTAAGATGAGCAGTTTTCGCACCTAACACAGTTGATGCATCATACGCAGATTCTGAGTCTATTGCTTTCAAAACCGTTGTCTAAATTGGCATATTCGTAGTTGCTTTGTTTTTTTTTCTCTTACTTTCAGCCCTGGATCATCGTTCTTTCTCTCTTTCAAGATTTTTCTACTAGGATAACGAGCGTATCAATGTTTCAATGAAGGTTCCCCAAGACTTATATTCCGGTCACCCCATTCTTCTAGTCTGAGTTTTCACCATCTACATGGCGAATGCTGTTTTTTTTTTTGTTTCAGTCCCCTCAATTGTAATGAGACGTAAATATGATTATTGATATTTCTCACCTTCATTCACTTCAGTTCCTCAGAGAAATCCTGTCATAAGCTTTAACACTGAGCTAGTCAGTGTACCACCTACCGGCTACTAGTCAGTGAGTGTAACTTGAGTCGATGTGTTATCTACGATCCAGAGGATCAGCAACACATCATATCAACTCCAAGACCACTTTATGCAATTAGTAAGATTAAAGAAAGTAAGAGGGGACACATTTTGTGGTCGCATTATGTTTATACTGTAAGTTAAGTCAGCGCCGCAATTCGAACGAATTATAGTTCCCCTTCGGATGCAGCCTTACGTACAAATTGTGACAAAATGCGAAGAGAAAACGCTGCAGAGTGACAGTGATCATGGGTGCAGATAGCATCGCAGGTTCTTTTTGAAGTTCGCGAGTGCGCGATGGTCCTGCCAGCAAATAGCGGCTTTCGCTTTGCTACGAACGCATACAGTTTTTAAAGCTGTTGCGTTAGACTGTACGTTGGCATGAGCTCAGGGTCAATGGATGGAAAGACCTCAGCAGTAGTTAAATTGTCACACTATCTTGAGTTCTCAAAGTTATACACGGTGTAAGATCCAAACTCATGTCGTCACTCTTCCTTGAACAAGACAATAGGTAAACTATACTACGTTATATGGTAAGATATAGCTTTCAACACCTATCAAGGTGATGTTATACAGCTCACAACTCATCAAGAAGGGCAAAATTCCGAACATCCTTAGTGCGACATTCATTCTTGGCTTTTACCAGCACCAGTTTCCGGAAGATGCTTCAAATAGAAAATAAACAGAATGACAGCTATTTTTTTCGATTTCCAGAAGTATCACCCACCTAAATAGGTCTGTTCAGTTTCTATGTATGATACATCGAAACCTGGACTGATCTAATCCACACTTGATGGGAAAAGACACTAATTTTCGGTAGTCAGTTGAGCTAAGGCCAATTACGGTGAAATGCAAAGTGGGGTCGAAATGCGTGTTTTCCCTAAGTATTGATCCTAGTGCTTTGTTGAGTAAACCAGGGTCAAACTCTTAGCAATAACTACGCAAATGCAATTTCAACCAGGGACGATGTGATTAACTCGGCTTTGAAACCAGTGAGTTGAACGCGGTCCCGCCACGAACAACCTGTTGGGCGCTATAGGGGGTACTGTAGCAAACGGTGCAACGACTGCGAAATCTGTTCTGTGGAGTCTGTCCGTCAAAATCAGCGATTAAGCAGAGTTTACAAAAGTGCTGTTCACCTCATCTATCCAGAAGGGTCAGTAGATTCCATGATTATCATTTGAAATGAACAAGAGCTTGAAAACTCTTCAAAGCAGTTGTTTGTTGAAGGAGATTGACTTTTAATGCTTTTAAAAGCAAGAAATGCAGCGATTGCTTCAATTTGAGTAGGAAGACAGGCCGTAAGTGTCGCAAATGTTTCATATTTTGGGATGTAATTGTACAAAAAAACTTGAGAGTCAACGAATGCGATAGTGATTAGAAAAACCAGGTGGCTGTATAATTTTGTCCAGCTTTCAAAGAGGGCTTTTTCGATTTTTTTCATTTTTCTCCGTTCAAACTCAACAAGACTGGAAGCCGTTTTGAGGGGTTATGGTGAGTTGACATGCGCAGAATGTAGCAAAGTTTCAGACAGATTCATTGACAAGAACAAAAATTACGACGATTTCTAGAGTGGCTGTATAATTATGTCCAGCACTGTATAAGATTTTGTATTTTTCAATATAAGTATTCATAATCATTTACAGGGATGAATCCGTTCAACTGTTTTCTTTTATTGGGTTTGTTGTTTCTATATTTAATTGATTCATCACTGAATCTAAATGCTTCCCTTGCCATAACATCTAAATTTACATTCATGACGTGTCCGGGCTATGTCATCATGCAATTTTATATTGCGTGTTGTACGCACTCGAACTGTTCTCATATTTGAAGTTTAATCTACCTTATCCTTCGGAAATGTTCAGG